TAGGAGTAATTTGTTGTGTACCACTGAATCAAAGGCTTTACAGAAGTCTATGTAGATTGCGTCTATTGCTTTGCCCCGATCGAGTTGTGTAGTCCATATGTTTTTGCAGTGTAAGAGTTGCAGATTACATGATAGTTTTTTTTTAAAACTGAAATTGTTTAATTATTAGAGAGTAGGTTGTTTGTTTCTAAGTGGAAAATGATGGATTGGTTCCATGATTTTACAAGTGACGCAGCATAAAGAGATTGGTCTGTAATTTTCAACTAGGCTGGGGTCTCCCTTTTTGAAGATGGGGATGACCGTGGCTTGTGACCATAGGTTAGGCAAGGAGCTGGTCCTGAAAGATTATGCTTAGAGGTTCTGCTATGGCAGTGGGTAGCTTTTTAAAGAAGTAGGCACATATTCCATCCAGTCCAATAGATAGAGATGGTTTTAGATTGCGTAGTACTTTTTCAACATTGTCTTCGGTAAAATTGATATGTATTAGATCATTGTAGTTGTCTGTGGTTCGACTAGGAAATACTGGGCTTGATCCATTGCTGTTTCCAAATACTGAGCCAAAGAATGTGTTAAAGAGGTTGGCTTTAATAGTGTCGTCGTTGTAGCCTTTGGACTGGTGATTGTTCATCTTGGTACGTCTCTGGGGTAGCAGAGATATCCAGAACCATCCAGGGTGACGAGGAAGCTTTTTTTAAGGGGAGCACTGCCCAACTTCAGATGCGGAAAGGGGTTAGAAAACATTGCCTGTCCCCAAACATCTGATAAGTTAGCTGTGGTTGATGGATCATCTCCTTAGCAGTCCACATGTTTCAAGAAAAACAAATCAAAGAAAACTCATCTTCAGAGCCTGAAATGCCTGCATCTTGCTGGATAGAGACAAGGTGTCAAGGACTGAATTCATAGCAGCACTCATAACACCCAGACTTCACCATTATTGCATTGACATCACTGCATTTAGTGAGACTGGGCTTGCCAATGAGGGTTCATTACAGGAAGAAGTGAGTGGATACAGGTTCTTTTGGAAAAAGAAACCAGAGATTGATAACAGAATTCACAAAATAGGTTTTGCAATCAAAACTGCTCTACTGAATACATCTCTACTCAACAGAATAAATGAACATACTATGAACTTTCTTTCCTCTCATCAAATACAGGTATATTGCCATTGTTGCCATCTATGCACCAACTCTTGTAAGTCCACATGAAAACAAGGAAAGTTTCTATTTCTATGAAGATCTGGAGCAGACAATTTGGATGGTCCCTGCCAGCAACCAACTCGTCCTTTTGGAAGACTTCAGTGCTCGGATGGGAAGAGACAGCAACATCCTGGGATGGAGTCAATGGAAGACATGGAGTAGGACAACTAAACAGTAATGACCTGCTGTTTCTAAGCAAGTATGCCAAGCACAACCTGTGCATCACTCAGATTTGCAAAAGAGTGTAAAACAACCTGGATTGTAACAATGGACTTTCAGTGTCCTCATTGTGCTGGTAACATAAGTGTAGCCCACCTCTGTGTGTGCTAAAGAAACTGCATGGAGGTGTCCAGAGGTGGTATTCAGCAGGTTCTAGAGAACCGGCAGCGGAAATTTTGAATAGTTTGGAGAACTAGCAAATACAACCTCTGACTGGAGATTTTACAGTATCCTTCCCTTGCCACACCAAGCCACGCCCACAGAACTGGTAGTAATTTTTTTTGAATCCAACCACTGGAGGTGTCCATGAAATCATCAGGGTTTTTTCTTGTCACAGGAAGTGACTTCCTTGTGGGTTTTTGAAGGGTATATCTGATTGGTTGCTGCTGTTTCTGCAAAGCTTTCAACTGACCCAGCATTTCAATCTATATTACTAAATAGGACATCAGATTATCCAGAAACATCTGAAAATTGTTTACCAGAGAGTTTACCAGAGAGACCAAGCTAGTCTTCTGAAGCCTTTTTCACAGCCTAAGTGCTATGAAGCTCTGCTGCAGGAAAACACCAGCATTGCAGTGCTTTTGAGAGCTATTCCTTAAGGATTCAGTCTGCATCTCAACGCAGCCATTAAGGATACAGTGAACTTTTAATTAAAATCCAGTGTGAGTTATCAACTAGTACAGAAGTTCACAGAATCAATCTGAAAAAATAAAATAGAACCTTCTCTTTGTAGCAGAACTGAAAGAGAAAAAATAAAAGAGTATCCTGAAGGGATCCTATGTGAATGAGTACAATATTCTGTTTTAAATTATGCTTGCTATTCTTAATCTCTATAATACAGTGCCAAAAAGATGACATGTGATATAGCTTTTTGAAAGGTAAATAGAATTCTGTGATACGAATCTCTACATTCCCATAGAAATACATCCATCAAATTTATAGCAGGCTTCCAACGTGGCACACTTTAGTTCAGTTGGACTACACATTCCATATTTTCCAGGGTTGGGAATTCCGGGATATGTATGGTATGGTGCAATACACCAGAAAAGCTTCAAGATGGAGATAACTGCAACTGTACATATTAATCAAAAAGGAGTTTGTTAAGCATCAAGCCATATATAGGCAAAATAAAGCCACGATGAGTCCAAGAAGAAAATAGCAGGAGGGGGAAGTTTTAAAAAAAACACTCCCCCCCAAAATAGCTTTATGGGAAGAAAACAGCTTGCTTAGTAGCCACTCACAAAACTCTTCCACATAGCAACACAGGGTGTTGTCATCCAGTACCAGAGCTGGCCAAATACCGATATTATGCTGACCACACTTCTAACACATTCTGATTTCATAAGGAAGTAGAAGACACATCCTCTCTATACAGAAGTGGAGGGAGGGCAGAAATGGTGGAATAATGTCTGTGACAGTAAGTTTCTGGCAGCCAGGCGCCCACAGACAATACACCTGTGAGATTAGAGAACTGGCAGCAAATGAACTGTTCTCCCCCCACACCCCAGTTCTCTCCTTTATATTTTGCCACCCATGGATGGCAGAAGGGTGTGGGGTGCAGAAGTAGGAGATAATGATTCTTTTGCTGCCAGTTCTGCCCTGCATGTTTAGGAGGCAGTAGGTTTGGAAAAACTCTGAATGGGATGTATACTTTGATCTTTATTGACCGTACTTTTTCTGAGCCACAAAATTCAGAACTACAAGAGGGCAAGAGAGACATACAGATCTATTTCTGTAACTCAAACATAGTAGTCCTACCCCAACCTTTTTTTGGGGGGGGGGGGGGATCATTACACCCAGGACAAAGTTTATAAAATTCAGCAGTAAAGAAAGTAAAGAAATAAAATGTTTGAGGCATAAATACTGCAATCTTGAGCTTATTATATGAATTTAAAAGGGAATTATTTCCAAGAGGAAATATTGTCAACAGTGGACCATAATTAACAGCCTTGGCTCATATTGGGGGGAAAAAACTAAGCAGCTGAAAGTACCTGAGTGGGAAACCACCAAGTAAACCCAGAGCTAGAGGATAGGCTAGAAAATCAGAAAACATCCTGGACTAAAGCAGTGGCAATATGCTTTCCAATTACAGCAAAAAAAAAAAAAAAAAAGGATGAGTGTTTTCATAAAATCTTCAAGGACTTGATGCAAACTATTATTTTCCTAAATAATTTTTTGAATGAACAATAGCTATGTTCCACTGGAAGATTAAAAAAAAATCCCTCTAGGGCTGACATGATAGCAGTGTTCCAATATTTGAGGGGCTGCTACAAAAAAGTGGGTATCAACTTATTTGCTAAGCACCAAAAGGCAGGACAAGAAGGAATGAATGGAACTAATCAAGGAGAGAAACAACCTGGAATTAAAGAGAAATTTCCTAACAGTGAGGACAATTGACCGGTGAAACAACTTGCTTTCAAAAGTTGTGGGTGCTCCATCACTGGAGGTTTTTAAGGGGAGACTGGACAGCCACTTGTCTGAAATGGTATAGGGTCTCCTGCTTGCTGCTTGATGACCTCCAAGGTCCCTTCCAGCTCTATTGCATTCTGCCCAATTTTTCCAACAACCCTGTGAGGTGAGTTGGGCTGAGAGAGTATCTGGCCCAAAGTCACCAGCCGGCTTTCATGCTTAAAACATGACTAGAACTCATCAGTCTCCTGATTTCCAGCTTGGAGCCTTAATTAACTTCTACTACACCAATCTGGTTCTTCCATGATTGATATATTAATAATACGTTGGTATTATTTCACATGTTCATATCCATCATTTAGTTGTTTCACTGAGAAGCATAAGCCCATCTAACCTGCCCCACCGCTTACAAAACAACTGTTCGATGTTTCATTTGGACAATTCACGGGGGAACAGCTTGCCTTGAGAAGTTGTGGGTGTTTCATCACTGGAGGTTTTTAAGAAGAGACTGGATCTGTTTAAAATGGTAAACAGTATTCTGCCAAAGCAGGGGGGTGGACTAGGATAGAATATAGAATAGAATGGAATAGAATAGAAAGAAATAGAATAAGAATTAGAACAGAAAAGCAAAGCAAAGAAAGCAGAATGGAATGGAATGAGCTGGGAGGGAACTTGGAGGTCTTCTAGTCCAGCCCACTGCTTAAAAGTAGGAGAATCCCTGCTCAAAGCAGAATTTCAGACAGGTGTCTTTCCAGTCTTTTCTTTAAAACCTCCAGTTGTGAAGCATCCACAACTTCTGAAGGCAAGCTGTCCCACTGGTTAATTATCCTCACTGTTAGAAAGTTTCTCCTTAATTCCAGATTGCTTCTCTCCTTGATTAGTTTCCATCCTTTGTTTCTTGTCCCGCCCCCCTTTCTTTGTAGCAGCCCCTCAAATACTAGAAGACTGTTGTCATGTCACCCCTAGATGACCTCCATGGGCCCCTTCCAGCTCTATCCTGATTGATGATGGAATTTCCCACTAAAGAATTCATGGGAAAAGCGGGGCGGGGGGGGGGGGGGAGGTTGTCCACCCAGGCCGTAATACGGCTCCACCTATCGTTACAAGCCGGGTACTGTCGTGATATGCAGCAACGTCACCGGAAGTTGAGAGCTTAGTATTGCTTTACGTCTCAAGTCGGAAGTGGTACTAGAGAGTCTTGTTTTTCGAGCGATCGCAGTCTTTATTTGGCTGTGACTCTTCCTGCTTTGCGGTGGGGCTGCTGGCGAGCGGCTCCCCTCGCCCGGAGAATTATGGATCGGAAAAAAAAGCCTCTGGATATAACAGTCGGTTCGGTGAGCAGCAAAGGGGGAACGGGCGGGATTTCAAGAGCGATTGTCGTTTTAGGGCAGAGGTGGGGAAGGATGGCTCTCTTTATGACTTGTGGAATTCTGGGAGTTGAAGTTCACAAGTCATAAAAGAGCCATCGTTCCCCAAGGTAATAGTTTCTCTCGCGTCTTTGGAGGTCTGTTTTTTCCCCCCTCCAAAGGAAATTACGTAGGTGTAAGTGTTATAAGACGCTTGCTGTTTGTAATCTTGTGCAAATCTTGCATTAACTAAACCTTGATTTTCTACCCTCCTTCCCCACTTCATCTCCTCTTAAGAATTCAGACTCCCTTGTCTAAAGTTTTGGTTTGTTTTTTTCTCCTTTTGTTATTCCTATTCTAGCTGGTAGATTTGAAAGCTGAACTGTTCCGAAAACAGGAAGAATTCAAGAAAGAAAAACTTTTAAAAGATGCAGGAGTTCATGTTAAGCCCAAAACAGTAAATAAGGTAGGGTTTGTTTACAGAGTTTAGATTATTAATCTCTGTTTATATGCTCAATATTAATCTCTGTTTATATGCACAATATTCTTAGTCTTACTGTTCTTCTAAATGCATTCACTCCTTCTTCATATGTTCATTTGAGGTTCAGTCATGATGAAACCACTTCAATATATTTTTCGTACTGGTTTTGTATTCGATCCACATTCATTCAATACCTATTTATTCTTGGCCCTATGTTTTGTTTTATTGCACGTCTACCGTAAATAATATATTCAGCTTTGGTTTTTTTGCATTAACATACAGCATTTATTTCGCTTCTCTTTTTTTGACATATTGATGCAAATTATAAAAGCTCTGTAGTTCATCTGTGAGTTAGATTCAAAAACAGCCAAATAACTTATCTGAAAATTTATTATTACAGAAGCCAACCATTTGGACTAAGCAGAACAAAGGGGTTTCAGATCGAGCTGAAAAAGATGCCGAGCAGAAGATAGAGGAGAAGCAAACTCTGGATAAATCAAGGTGTTTCATTTTTAAGAAAAGCAGACTTACTAAATATTGTAAATCAGATTTATTGTAAAGAAAATAGGATGTGTCTTATCTATAAATCCCATGTGATGTAGGATTGTGCTGCATTATGAACCCAACTATCCAGAATGGTTCTATCTTCCTGGTAAGAGCATTAAGGTGGGCCCTGTCACCCCAAAAGGAAAAAGAAAGAAGGGACCCAAAAGCAGACTTCGACATTCTGGAATTACCCCCCAGGAAAAAAAAGACCTTTCTGATTGACAAGTTCAGCGTCTTAGCCACTGAGCCACCGCGTTCCTTTTTCATTGATCATTGATAGCATTTCAAAACTACTTCAAGAGAAGGCAATCTTGACAGCATATAATGGTCTTAAGTTACATTGTTTCATATTCTATATGGCAAAAAAGACTGACTGCTATGAAGAGATGGGTAGTTAAGAAGTTTAATTAATAAAAATGGTGTGTTACTGTTTTTAGGCAAAAACTGGAAGAGAAAGCACGTCTGTATGAAAAAATGACCAAGGGAGACTTTCCAGGTGAAATACGTTTAGTTTTCTTGGGATTGTATGTGAAACATGCTTTGATAAAGACTCTACTATAAAATGCTGTTACTAGTAATAAGCACTGAGTAATTTTTATTTTGAAATAGGCATATCTAAGGAGGCAGTAAGATCTATCTGTTGCTATGATAACCATCCTTATGAAAAGAATAGGCCTTTCTCATTGAAATAACTGATTTTGTCCTTGATAATGCTATAGAGCAATGGTTAAAATTTGTTCTAAGTTACTTTGACATTAAGTTCTGGAAAACTGCAGTGCCTAAACAGAAAGCTTATGTTTCTACTTCTGAAGATCAGTGGCTAGGGAATTCTGGGAACTGAAGTCCACACATCTTAAAAGCTGCTGAGGTTGAAAAGCACTGCTGTAGACAATGCCATTTGTCAAGGTAGATGCCTTTGTCCTCTTTCTGCAAAGAGCTTGGCCAGTACTGGAGGCTTTTTTTCCCCCTTTGTGGGGGTTGCATTCCAGACAAGCAACTGTGGATAATGTATAACAGACAATAAGTTTGAGACAGAAGCATTTTTCCATGAGAACAGCATACAATCACTTTGATCAACAGTCCAAGTTCAATACAGCCAATGTTCTTTATAGTTTGAAATACTCCATTTTCCTCTACTTCATTTAATGGTGCAGAAGTGCTAATTCAATTGCACTTAGCAAAATGGGTTTTTTCCCCCTGTAAATCCTCCATGTTGTCATAGAATACAATATGTTTCTGTTTCAGCATTGCTTGAATGTCTCTTAGGTCCAGAACAAATTTGGCACTTGTTTTGATTTGGTGAAGGCACTCTAAACTTGACAAGATTTTACTAAACAGCTGGGGGGGGGGGCAAGGGAATTGGGGATTACCTAGTTTGAACTACATTCAGAAGTCCTATTCAGGAAATAGTGCACATCAACAACAACAGCAATCTTTTCCACTCCAAGTAGCAAAAGTTGAAGAAGCTAGCCTCTTTCTGTCCTGATAGGGAATTTCCAGATAGGCATGGCTCTTATGTGTGTTCATAATTGGTGTAATCTCAAAATGTGCTCCAGAAGATTGGAAGGGACCACAAAAAAAAAAGGATTAGGAGAAGGAATAAATGTGTTAAAAATCTTTTTATGCAGCATTGGATTTCTCTCAAGAATTCAAGTTGTACTGCTTTCTGTAAAGCAACAGCAACAACTGGAAAAGGATAATTTAGAAACTACTTTTTATTCACTGCTAAATCTTGTCATTGCTGTATCTAAGATGAAAGTATATTAAAACCATTCATGAATCAAGTACTTGTATGCTCAACTAGATACAAGTGGGCTAACTTACAGAATGTGTCCAAAATCCAGGATCCATGATTCTCATGGGATTCAAAATGGACAAATTTGTAGTTGCTTCATTGCTGCTGTGTCGTTGCCCGGAGATTCAGTAGACTGTCATTAAAATTGGTTTTCTGTCATAGATGAAGAAACTGAAGAGTTATATCTTGTGGATTTCACTCAGAAGATCATTGACAAACGGAGAGAAGTACAAGAACTGTGTACCAGTGAAACTGCCAGAAAAGCAATGGGGGAGGAAAATGGGGAAGAAGAGAGATTGTCTGAAGCAGAGGTCCCACCGCCACAGACCCCAGATGAAGAATGGTTCGTGATTGTATTATAATAGCACTCTTGTTTTATTACAGAGCTTCACTGTAATCAAATGCAATAACCTGACTTCAGTTTAGATTGTAGCTTTATTATAATATATTTGCACTGCTAGTCCCTGGAAGTTATGTATCAAGCTTAACTAGTCTGCTTGTTGACAATTTTTGACAATAATAATCATGTTAAATTGCTTTGCTTTGAAAGATTTGTAATTAATGTAGTCATCAAAAGTTAATTTTGTTTTTCATTTTAGGGTTGAATATGTGGATTATTTAGGCCGTTCAAGAGGATGTAAGAAGAAAGATTTGCCCCTTCTGCTAGAAATGGATAAACTGAACGAGAGGTAAACTTTATTGTAGAAAACCATTTATGTTTTTTTAAAAAAAACCAATTTTATAGGGAAAACAAACAAGAATGGATGCTGAAATGACATGATTTTCTTCTCTTACCAGAGTAATAGTTTTACAGTCTTTGTAGTAGCTCCTCAAACTAGTCTAGATCTGAAATCCTATGTGTTAATTTACAAATAAGGAAACAGTTTGTAGGAACCACAAAAATAACGTGGAAAGCCATGCAAAATGGTTATCTATCTTGGAACTGAAAATTTCTTGAAACATGCTGCTAAAAGTTCTAAAAATAGAAAATGTTAAATATAACACTGCTGTATTGTATTATTTGCAGGCATAATTTAGCAGTAGTGTTGTCCTTCAGTATTTAGTGATTACACAGACCACAAGCAACTATGCAGGGACTGACTGAGTTCCTTTTCTTGATAAGCTATAAAGGCCTTGCCTTTGAAGATGCCAGCAACAGTTGCTGTTGAAATGTCAGGAAGCCTGTTGCCTAGACCATGATCATTAAAAGTTTAAGCCTAATATCACCCAAGAGGTAGTATTGGGTTATGAAAGCCAAACCAGTATACAATTTAGCAATACCTTTATAGTATGTAAGCAGTGGGATTTTCCCAGTAGAAGTGAATTTTAATCTATTCTGATGGAACCTATTATAGCATTTCTGTTCTTAGTTAAAGGATTTGCAAATATATAAAATCAGGCTTGTAAAGTAACAAGAAATAGTATTTACCTTGGTTATTTAACAAATGTCTTTTCTTATCTTGGTCAAACTGATCATTTTAGAAAAAAAATACTCTGTAGTTAATACTGTAGTATTGAAAAAATGCTCATGTTCAAATATCTTTATAATTAAATAGCAGTAATAAAAGATTCTGAAACAGGACTATATATTGACCATGCTTTGCTTCCTTTCAAGATACTGTCTTTTTACTAGAGAACTGTAAATTTGGAAGAAAATATATTTCCCTTTTTTTTTAATTTGAAGAAGCTTCATATGAACTTAGAATAATTTTTGAATCATTTCAGAATAGATTATGAAAGCACTATTTGGCTATCCTTGATGTCCTCAAGGTAATTTCTAGCAATTCATAATAACTGTTTAAGATAAACAGGACCTTGTATTGAGGAATGCAATGGCAAACCACTCAAATCTTGCCAAGAAAACGGCAAGGACTCAAGCAGTCACAAGGAGTCAAGACTGACTCAGAGATAGGAACCAAAACCTTCACTATTAAGTAATCGTTTATAATGTTGAAATAAAAGCTAAAGGCAAAGGAGTCTTCTGGATTTTACTCTGCTAGTCATTGACGACAAGCAGTGGGCAGTGTTCATCTACATTTCAAGGCCATTGAGTCAGCGCTGTCCGAAGATATTTCTGTGCTTATGTGGCCAGCATGATGTCACGGAGCTCTGTTACCTTCCCACCGAAGTTATACCTATTTATCTACTCGCATTTGCATGCTTTCAAACTGCTATTTTGGCAGGAGCCAGGGCGAGGATTGGAGCTCACTCTGTTGCATGGCGCTCGGGTCTCAAACCTGGACTAATCATGTATAATGTTCAATATATAAATTCAATACAAATTCAGTCAGCATACAACTAATTCTGTTTGCTGAGTGAGAAATTTTTGAAAGGATTTACTGGCTACAAAAAACCACCATCTCATGAATAAGTACATTTTTGGCACTGTGTCGTTTGTGCCTTTACAATGTTGACTTAAATGAGGGGACTTTGCTAAATCAAAAAATAAGTTTCTCTTTTAACTGCGACCACATGTTAACTGAGAGACATCTAAATCTGTGGAAATACACTTGAGGTGAGGTTTCACTTTGTTCCTCCTTCTGTAGCCATCTGCATATCCCAAAAACTTGCTTAAGCGACTTCTAATCCTTCAGAACATATTTTGAGTGTATGTAAATATGGACAGTAGTAAGGCAGAATATAGTCTGCTGATATTATTTTATCAACTGATTATGTACTGAATATTATTGAAAGTCATAGAAATTGTACTAAAATTGTAATACTGTAAACACATTAAAGAATACAGTTTTACAAGCCCATGCTTGTTGAGGACTAGAAAGAACATATCTCCATAGTTTCATATTTCTGTCATGCCCCTGATGGAGACTGACTCTGAGGGAGAGGAGGAACAGCCGACAGGGAGTGGAAGTGTGGCTCAGGAGGTAGTGGAGGAGGCTGGGGAAGGGCAGAGGCCAGCTGAGCAGTCAGAGGAGGACCCAGGCCCATCCCCTCTCCATCCTAAGGCATGCAAGGAGGAGAGGATAAGGGAGAGACATGGTCTACTTGGGAGGAGAGGGCCTTGATCCTCTTCATGGGCTGTAGCTGTGACAACTGAATAAGCGGACGGACATGCGTGGAAATATCTCTAGTTTATGGTTCCTCTCTGACTTTGGCCTCCTTCCCAGTGTGTGTTCTGTTATCTGTGGACGTTCTCCAGCCCTTATCTTGGCTGGTTTGTGTTATTTTTCCCCTCCTCCTTGTAACTGTTTGTGTGGGAGTTTTTTGTCTCCAGTCAAGGATATTTGGAGCTTGGAAGCAAAGTGAAGGAAAAAAAGGGGCTTCACCTGTTTTTGTGACTGTATTTATTTTGTATCCCACCCTGGGTCATCACAATTTCAGTAATGGCAGTTTTATTTTTAAAAATTATTTTGCCTAACTAAAATTAGTTGAGTGCCCTACTTGTTTCACACCTACACAGTGTTATACAAAGCAATGTCATTGGGATCTATTCTACAGTTGTTTTGACTTACACTGATAATTAAACTGTAAGACTGGATATTGGGGTGTTGTTGGTATAGCTACAGACTTTGGGATGTTCTCTCATATACCACTTTCCAATTCTTAATGGATTTTTTAAAAAATTATTCATGTAGGCCAGAAACTGAAAAAAAGACTCTACTGTCAGAAGACATGAGAAGGGAGCTTCAACGACAGGAATGGGAAAGAGAGGAAGAAGAAGCACTGAAGAAACCTATGGGGCCAATTCATTATGAAGACATTCGAGAAAATGGTAGGCTGACTTTGTATGATTCAAATCTGGTTTTGAAAATATCACACAGTTTAATGTCAAGGTAAATTTTCTCCTCCTTGGTTAAAATAGGGTTGTTTTTTTTAGAGTGATGGATGCAAACTTGTTGGGCTGTTATATTAATCATTCTTTATAATTGGGGTTTTATATACAAAAGTATCCCATTCTACTGTTTAGTGGAAAAATAAGAATTAGTTTGGTGTCATGGTTTAAAGGCTAGAACTGGGAGATTTGTGAGATCTAGTCCTGTCTTATGCACAAAGCCAAGTGGGTGATTTGGGGCCAGCTCCTCTGGTTCTTGGAAGAAGGCCATAGCAACCATTTCTGAAAATTTTGCCCAAAAAACTGAGACTGTAAATAGGAAAAATTTCAGGTCTCAATTAGTCTGTCTATCTAAGTATTTGGAGGGCAATATTGACTGAAAATCAATAGCAATAGTATTTAGACTTAAATGCTGCCCCATAGTGCTTTATAGCATGTTCTGGGTGATTTACAATGTTAGCATATTGGCCCCAACAATGTGGGTTCTCATTTTACCAACCTTGGAAGGATAGAAGGCTGAGTCAATCTTGAACCCTGTCAGGATCAAAGTCTAAGCTGTGGGCATACTTTGCCTGCAGTAACCACTACCCCACTATATCAAGGTATGTTGTTCAACAGATTTGGACAGCATATGATTGGCAAAGGCTATTGTAATATAAAATATATTGAGAAATGTCTATCTTTGCACTGATATAATCTTGGAGAAAAATTGTAGGTCCATATTAGAATCCACATTGACTAGAATACCCCAAAATACTAGTTTCTGGCATATTCTGGTGTTATTGGAAGAATTCTGGCCTGAAACTCTTTACTATACCATCACTTATAGTAAAGGAAGTTCAGGAATTACAATGTATGATGAACTGTTAATATAGAACAAAATTTCTTTCAGAGGCCCGACAGCTTGGTGTTGGTTACTTTTCCTTCTCCCGTGATCAGACTTTGAGAAAAAAACAAATGGACACTTTAGAAATGCTAAGAGAACAGGTATGATGTTTAACAGTCTACCAAGTGTGGGAAATTTCCCAGCATCCCTTGGCCATGCTGACTGGGCTGTTGGTAATTGTAATTCAGCATCATTTGTAGAGTGATAAATTCTCCATCCCTAAACTTCACTGTGAAATACCTGAGCCTTTCTCATATGCTTATCTCTTTTATCCTTGGTGAACTGGGTCTCTGAATAACATGAAGAAGTGGTATTTTCTCTCCCCCCCCACCCAATTGAAAAGCCACATTTGGTAGCTGATGGGCCAGGGAAGTCACTTATAGTCTTGCCTTCTGAACTGATTCATGATTCTCCCGCTTTTAAAATGGCTGTTCAATAAAATGGGCAGAATAGGAGGGACCCAAATAGGATTGCTTGGAAGGAAATGTAAATCTCCCTCACTCCAGCTTTTCATGCTTCTGTTCTTTCCATTGATGGAAAATCATCTGGGTTATTGAGAAAAGAAGAAGAAAAACCTTGTTTATCAATATTTCAGCCTAATTACAGGTACTCTTCAACATACAACCATAATTGAGCCCAAAATTTCTTTTGCTAAGTGAAACATTTGTTAAGTGAGTTTTGCCCCATTTTATGACTTTTCTTGCCACTATTGTTAAGTGAATCACTGCAGTTGGTAAATTAGTAACACGGTTGTTAAGTGAGTCTTGATTTCCACATGACTTTGCTTATCAGAAGGTCTCAAAAGGGGATTACATGACCCTTCATAAAAATGGAACCATCATAAATATGAGTCAGTTGACAAGTGTCTGAATTTTGATTGTATGACCATTGTATGACATAAATGTAAGAAATGCTTGTAAGTCACTTTTTTCAGTGATATAACTTTGAGTGGTCACTAAATGAACTGCTGTCAGTCGAAGACTATCTGTAAACAGAAGCAGTTATGGTTGAATCAATTAATAGCACTACAGACTTCACCATAGCCGACATAGAAGATACATAATGCATCTAATACATATAATAAGTTCAGTTCTAAATAATCCAATTTAAAAAGTGTAAATTGGATAACAGTTTGATGGTTAAACCTAAATATAGGAATAAATTATAGTATTAAAATATCACAGTTTTGTTAAATACTGTATTAATTTCTTTTTTAAGAAATACTTTTCAGTTATGTTGATGCAATGGAAAATGTCACCCAATACAATTGTTTTGTTTACCTAGGAAATACAGTTTAGTTACATCATAGTAATGGTAAAATTAAAGCTTGAATCTCAAAAGCATGGCAGGAAATGATTAAAAGAAATAGTTTCTGTGAACATCTGGAGAGGAAATAAATTACTATTGTATTGCATTTCTCCAGACCATCGGTCAGAGAACAAAGCGTGAACATTTAAAGGAAAAACGTAAAGCTATTTTGGAAGCCAGGTTGTCTAAAATTCGAGCGAAAAAGCGCTTAAAAGATGGTGATACAAAAGAAAATGGAGGTAATTTTGAATCATTTACTTTACATTTAAAAGCAGTTTTGGAAGGTTTACATAATTGATTAGATGACAACGTCTCTACTATTCACTAACAACCACAAATTTGACTACTTTATTGCAGTTTGTTTGATAATAGTTTCAGTTTCAATCAGAAAAGAATTTGCATTTTTAGAGAAAGACATATTGTGATAGCTTGTGCGTCTGCATTGAAGAAGCATAGACTTGATTTTTCTAGTTCAGACATAGCAATAATCCACAGTGGCCTCTGTTCATAAACTCCAAACTAATTTTTCAGATATTTTAGAAAATTATGCTTTAATGGTATCAGTTTGGATGGTTTATGTTTGCCACTAATATTTTTGTCACTGATAAACTTTTGAAAAGATGGTGAAATTGATGAAAGGAGGAGTATAAAATATATTTCTTGCTGCTTGTTTCTTCAGCTATATTACAATATAGTAATTATAGGGTCTGTTGCCAAGTCATAATTTTTGTTCTGCTTTCTGGTATCCACTGAAATGTAGGGATTTTTATTTATTTATTTTACTGCTTGCAGCTTGCAGCTTACTTTGTAATAACTTTCTTTTGAGTGGGCAACAGGTAATATCTCAGTAACATGTTTACTGTGAGGAAATCATTCCATAAATACACTTACTGTGCAATATTATACAGTACTGCAATATCATATCATATATCCATTTATTGTTATGTGGTGCCTAAAATCTATGTGTTGTTCTTCACAACAGAGGAGGAAGTGCCAGAGCCAGTGCTACCTTCCAGCAAGCCCACTGACCCGCCCAGAGTTTCTACAGAAACTAGAAAAGTAGAAGTTATCATTCAGGAGCGGAAAGATACAAGGCCGGGTGTGCCCTATGTTCGTGAATGGGATAAAGGCAAAGGTAGGAAGCTGCAATGTTTTGGACTATCAGCATGTCAAGACTCCTTTGGTTTAAGCTATGGTGGTTTGGTCTATGGCAGGGGTTGGCAACCTTAAACACTCAAAGAGCTACAAAGGTCCTAACCGGAAGCCCCCCATTCAATTCTGGAGCTGACTGGAAGTCTGGTTCTCCCACCATAGAGTCTCCTCCTAACATAGCTTCCTTTTTCCTCTGCTGACCGAAAGTCTGGTTCCCTCACCATAGAGTCTCCTCCTTTTTCCTCTACCTGTCCTAACCGAAAGCCCTATCAATTGTCGATTGGCAACAAGGAGCCACAGCAGAGGGATGAAAGAGCCACATGCAGCTCCAGAGCTGCAGGTTGCCTACCCCTTTTAAATTAAAAAAAAAAAAAAAAAAACCCTGATAGTGCTTTTATCAATCTCCGACAGCAAACTTAATGATTTTAGCAATGCGATTCTTTCCCTTGATTTGGAGAGGAGGTGATGGTGGTGTTGAGACAGTTTTAAGTTTTAAATTTTGCCAAGGAAGGATTTCCTGTAATCCATTAACAAGAAGGAAGTTCTGTAATCCTCTTAACATGTTACAGGCCATGACTAAGCAGAATGTCCTCATTCTTAAGTCAAGCTCTGGTTGGGTCACCAGCATTTCAGGTGAGGGATTCCCGCATCCCAACATAATACAGAAAAAGAAGTCTGTTCATCCAGACATAATGGAAAGCTTACAGTTGCATGTAAGCGGTTTCTCTTTCACAGCCTTCCCCAGATTACTAAATGGTACAGGTAGACCTCAACAACAGCTCTTTACTGACCATTCGAAGTTACAACGGCACTGATAAGTGATTTGGGACCATTTTTCACAGGTATGACCGTTGCAGCATCCCCATGGTCATGCATTTGGATGCTGAACAATTGGTTCACGGTTGTGTGTCCTGGGGTCTTGTGTCTATCTTTTGTGACCTTCTGACGAGCAAAGTCAATGGAGAAGCCAGATTCATTTAACAACTGTGTTAACTTAATAGCTGCAGGGATTCACTTAAGTGTGGCAAGAAAAATCATAAAGTGGAGCCAAAAATCACTTAACGCACACTTAGCAATATAAATGTTGGGCAGAATTGTGATCGTAAGTCGAGGACCACCTATATTGTAGATGGCACCCAATGTGAATAACTTGGGTGAGTTCAGTCTTTTTTCTTTTCTTTTTTTAGGATTCTTTTAAGGCAGAGGTCTCCAAACTGGGCAACTTTAAGACTTGTAGACTTCAACTCCCAGAATAGCATAGCTGGCTGGAGAATTCTGGGAATTGAAGTCCACAAGTCTTAAAAGTTGCCAAGTTTGGGGACCCCTGTGTTAAGGTAAGCAAAATGGGATTTCTCAAACAAAAGTAAGACAGATTATTGTTGTAAGGCTTTTTTTAAAAAAGAAGAAGCAATCCTTACTTTTATAAAGCTTCATAAAGCTTGAGTTCAATTAAATATGAAAAAGCAAGCTAAACTTGATATTCTTCTTTCTCTTCCCACGAATAGAGTTCACTTTTGGACTTTGGTCAAAGAAGCAGAATGAACTCAGGAATGAAAGAGATCCAGAGTTTGCACCACCTTCTGCTTACTTTATGGGCCAAAAGAAATTTTACGATTTGAATAATCAAAATTGGAACAAATCTAAATCCTCCTATGTAAGTACGGAAGACAGTCTTTTGGGCAACTTGCCGTCTACATCAGCTGAGACTCACAACAACTCATGGAACAAGGACTTCATACCTAATCAGGCACCTGAGATGAGGACATCAAACCAAGAGCCGGTTTACCAAAGTTTGGATGATATGCTCTCCTACTACAAGCAAGTCACATGAACGTCAGATGCCATTAGGAGAACAACTGGTTTCCCGGTGGTTAAAACAAATTAAGGATAGTTTCTGTGAGCAGGTGAATTTTCCTGTAGTTCCCTCTCCCCTATCACTTCTAATATTAAAGAATTAACTTCAAAGTTACTGTCTTTGTCTGGAATGTCATTTCTTTAGGCACACAAAAGCTTGGATATGATCAGGTTTTAACACTTTAATAATAATCCTTATTTAATTAATGAAAAAGGCTATCCTAGAGCAAGAGCTACTCGAGAAGTTTTACACTACACATCCATCACCATTTGCCCAATTATTTGGAGTCAAGCAGAGGTTGTGAGCAACTTTTGCAGCTTAGGAACTGCATCTTTTTAACACTTAAAAGCTCACAGAATGAACATTGGAAGGTACTGGGTTGAAAAGTCATCATTTTGAAAGGAGTTTATTGATGCATTTAATTTGTTAAATTCATATACTGGGCTCAAGATGGTAAATCTAACATTCTATCCTTCGGTTTTTCCCAATAACATCTTTGTCAGATAGATTGGGCTGAGAGTAAACTCTGATACTAAGAGTGAACATGATTCTCCCCAGTCTTGGTCTAGCAACATAACCATGACGCTCCATGGGCTCCCATACCACCATCAATCTCTCCATTTAACCTGTTAGTGCAAGAGCTGCAAAATTTCAGCTGGGAGCCATTCTGATATGGATTATCTTTCCTCAGATTTCCTCTTTAAGAAAGTTTAGTTCCTGCTATATGTGATTATCATATTCGTTGTTGTTATAGGCATTCCTTATGCGTATGTTCTTTATAATCAAACATTCACGTAGGACATCGTGCTACAAACAGAATTTCTTTAAATGGTAATTTTTCTCTTTATTTTCCAGCAGTCTTCTGAAATTATTCCAATGTTAAACAAGCAAAATGTTCACACATTGGTATTGTTGACCTTCCAGATTATTATTATTCTAAACTAATTTTGTGTTACTAAAGTGCATATTTAAAAGACCTCTGGATTGATGTTGTAATCATGGTGATATGTGGCTGCAAAATAAAATTTACTTTCCAGTTTTGAAGGTTCAGTTTTTCCTACAAAAGGTAAAAGTTGTATTATTTAATGCGATGCCTTGAAATAATGAAGTAAAATGCAAGTTCTTCAGTAATATGCTCTTTAGGAAAAGAATATATGAGTTCATAAACTTGTACTGGCTTTAACAAATAGACCATCAACAAAGTTAATGCCTTGCCTGATTTTTATTTACAACTGTTACTGTAATTAAAAATGTCTATCTTCAAAAGTGGGAGTAAACTACATTGTTATAGTCAAGTATGGAATGCAAGATTTTAATGGGGAAATGTGTCTCATATTTTTCTTCAGGAACAAAGCCAGTTAAGTACAATTCCTCTTGTCATCCCTTAAACCTGAAATTCTTCAAACTTGTCCAGCAGATGGCACAAGCTGCTTTTAAAAATAGTCACTGAATATCCACAAAGTATATATATATATATAAATGTTATCACCTAATTGGAATTTTAATAATTTAGAGTAGCTATTATCCACGAGGGGAATTTATTTTTAAGAACAGTAAAATAAGAGATTAGAAGTGGGGAAACCTGAATTCTATTTCTACCTGGAGGACAGCCAGTTGATTTTTGGGCTATTCATTCTTTCTCTTCCCTAGGAAAGAGGCAAGGGAAAACTACGACTGAAAAAAATGGTACCAGGATCAAGAAAACCTGCAGGTTTGGTTCTTGTTTATGTAGTTGTCAGGAACCAAGACTAACTTGAAAGGCACACACTTAATACTTATTTCTGCTGAGGAACATAATTCCTGTGAATTCTCTAGAAGGTGTCTTTCTTTCTTTGACTTCCTATCTCTCTTTTGCTTAATGTATTTTCCAAGGAAAGGACACTTCTTGACAGAGGACAGAGGTTATTTGCAGAGAGGTCTCCCAATAGGCGAAATGCATCAGTAGAAGTTCTTATGCTTTAGATTTGTCTGCATGCAAAATCTGTCTCTTTACAGCCTTTTCCCAAACTATTTTGATACAGATGGAGCTATCCTATACTGGGTTGGACCATCAGTCTTAACATGAAATTTATCTAACCTTACTGGCTCAAGCTTTCCAAGATTTTATGAGTCCTGGTAACACAGTAGTTAGAATGCAGCATTGCAGGCAAACACTGCCCACAGCCAGGAGTTCGATTCTGACCAGCTAAAGATTGACTCAGCCTTCCATCCTTCCAAGGTCGGTAAAATGAGGACCCAGATTGTTTGAGGGCAATATGCAGACTCTGTAAACCACTCAGAGACTGCCGTAAAGCACTGTGAAGCGGTAGATAAATCTAAATGCTAGTACTATTGCTATTTTAAGCAATCCTTTTATTCTCTGCCTTATTACCCAAAGATACTGGTAAACAGTCTGGAAACTTATCATTCAAAGTATGTGTCTACTGGGCACAAATGCTCCCTGGAAATTCTCCACCAAATTTATGAGGAGCAATAACTTTCAAGAATTCCTCAAGGACATAATTCCTCTTTAGCAGTAACAGCAGGGCTGCTGCCAAAAAGAAACCCCCTCAATGGGAGGACACTCTACATAATGTCTTCCATTAGGATTACATTAGGGCATGGGAAGCCAAAAAGGTAGGTTGCTTCAGAGGGGGTTGTAGAATGAAAAGAAAGCCGTTTGCACTAAAGTACAAGATCAACAAATGCTACCTCTGGATTTTTTTTCCAGATGGCTGGTTGAGTAGTCACTCCATTAGGTGTAAAGAGTTTGCAAATACATTCACATTAATGAAAGCCTTATGGCTATCTGAATTGTATACACCCAGCCATAATGATGCTGCATGCCCTTTGCATTTCTCTCTATTTTTAATTTGAAGCAGCAGGGAGACTGCCCCATGTGCTAGAAATGGCTGATAGAAGTTCCAAAACCAATTCTTCATTTTCACCATAAAAACATATGAACCCTAACTAGCCTTTAGGTGAAGAAAACTCTGTACCAAAAGAAATCTAGAATGAGAAGGTTCTTGCTACTATGACATAAGAATGAATACTGGCATATGGAATCAGGATGCTGCCAGATCACCCACCTAATGCTGTGACTATTAGAACATCATTCTTATAACAGGTAATAATTCAAATTCTCCTTCGCTGAAATTTCAGATTTAAAGTGAAATCCTGGAGATTTTCCTTACGTTTGTTTTTGTTGAATATTTCATGGCAGCTTGTGACCCCTGTGTGTGTGAATGCGCTTCTCTTGCTTAATCTTCTAAAATCTGAAAATGCAACTCTCCCTGGTCTTGTAGAAGTTGGGAAGAACAGCAGTTCCCAGGGATTCATTGTGTTATTCTGTTATGCTCCTTACTGATATCGGTGATTATTTATTTATTTAGCATATGGCAATGTTATAATTAGCCAGGAGACTACAGTGTTAATCCAAAGTAGTTATTTGGCTGCCAAAGAGTCCTTGTCTGTTTAGTTTGCGCTTGCACACTATCCAGGGTGCACCACAGGGGGCGAACTAGTTCCTCACCAGAAAGTCGAGCAGCATCCTGCGGCATCATCTGGGGCCTTCTCCCACCACCAATTTCACCTCACAGTTGGACATCATATCGGGGGAGATCCAGCACTAGTAGGATCTCACTGTCTGCATAAAATACCACTGCATTTCCACCGGTGGTACCTATTTATCTACTTGCATGTATGATGCTTTCTGCTAGGTGGGCAGAAACTGAGGCAAGTGATGGGAACTCACACTGCCACTCAAACCGCTGGAGCAAAGACCATCTCCAACATCTTTAAGTCACTGAGTCATCGTAATCCTTAGTTCTGTGTTAGTCCATACCGATGACTGAAACATTTAAAGTTCCTTCACTTTGTCCTTTTCAGCAGATGTGATCTTAGAACCAATACATCTTTCTTTCTACCATTTCTACCATTATCCTCTCCACAGCATTGTAAAGGGGTATCCAAGCAACTGGGTTTGGAATGTGACTCGTGACATTTAAAGTGAGTTGAGATCAGTTTATAGTTATCCCAAAGTGTCTTTGGGCACCATGATTGATCTGTTTCTACTTCTACCTCCTGCGCATGTGTATGCTTGCCACTATTTTCAGGGTGAGTTTGGTGAGCTGTGCCCACACATGATCATACACTATTCTTCATTTTCATATCAGGGCAGTGAACATATTTTCTCCAGGAGAAATGTAAAAAAATAGCATTCAAATAGTGGGAAAGTCCCATGCCATGGAAAAAAGGATTGGCCTAAGTTTTCAGAGTTAGGTCTTCTAGAAAACATGTGCTCATATGTAGGTTCTTTAGAAATGCTAGATAAAATGAGCCCTAATCACAGAGAAGACATTTCTGGGTGGGAGGCTGGATTTGGTTATTTCACTCCTAAGGTGATCAACTCTAGTCTGGCATAGAAACCCAACTGACATAAAGTTTAGACTGACAGGTTATTAGTTCCAGTTGAAAATATACTTTCTAATTAAGACAATTCTTCAGTTTCTATTTTCTAATTAAATCAATGGTAATTTATCTGTCACACTTAAATGTGGACTCTCTTGGTGCTTCTTACTGATGAGCACAAAGGCAATTAAAAGAAAAAGGGCTGCTTTTCATAAGGAGAATTAAGGCCTTTCTAATGCAGCATTTTATTTCTTGGAAATACTTCCATTCTTAACCATTGCATATCTTCTTCAAGCTCCTTGCTCAAGCGTCAGACTCCAGACTTTACCACAGTCAATTTTGTCTAAGATGTTTTTACAACTCCAAGCTTGGGTAATGCCCATTAGAATTAGATGGTAGCAAAGAGATGCTGAACAATCATAACTCTCTGCTGCCACCTCATGGTCATCTGGATTTTTGCCATCCAGATCTAGTAACCAAGAGTGCAAGAGTGTAAACATAGGTATTTCTTAGAAAACACCCACAGCATTGCTGATTGTTTTGACTGAATGTATACTATTATATTATGCTGGGGACAGAACTGTATATCACTGGGATAAACTGTATATTCACTGGGAAATGAACTGTATATGAAAAGGTCTTGGCTTTACTCTGTACCATACAGAGGTGGTATTCTGCAGGTTCTGACCAGTTCTAGAGACCCGGAAGTGGAAATTTTGAGTAGTTCAGAGAACTGGCAAATACCACCTCTGACTGGAGATTTTACAGAATCCTTCTCCTGCCACACCCACCAAGCCACACCCACAGAACCAGTAGTTAAAAAAAAATTGAATTCCACCACTGGTGCCACAGATTACAATCAATCTTGGTCTGAATCCTATGTTGGTTTAGATGGAGTGTGGATGCTTTTGCCTAAGCTGTGAGATCTCTGCATCTGTCCAGAACACATACCCTTCAGTTATGGCATTATTCTTTTCCTAAGTCCTTCATATACTCATTTTTTCGTAAATCTTTATTGACTCTCTCCTTTATATATTTCTACCACTTAAAAATCTTTGCTACTCTTTTTTTTTAACTTTTTTAAAAACCTCATTATTATAATTTGGCAAATGCTAACTCTCTGAGTAGGAGCTGAATTTCATGCAGCTCTCAATATGGCATGTTTTGAAGACATAGGATGGAGCAATCTGGTTGATGCAAAGTAATCTGGACCTGCTCAGTATGGAAGGAAGATCATTGGGAAATTTTCTTTATGTTCTGTTGAATTATTTATACTGAAGATAGGATATTAAAGAATGAATACATTTTGAAAGAGAGAGATTAGCACATCATTCACTGATCAAATGATACGTTAGTCCTAAAGGTAACAGCACAGAAATATTCCTTATATATTGTTCTCCTTATTTAGATGTTGTTACATCAAAGATGAAATGAATGAACTGGTGATATGAATGACCAAAAGTCTGACACAAAAAGTAGTCCAAAGGTTGATCAAAAGGATGAACATAAACCTGACCATAAGAATGATCTTAAGAGTGAGCCAAAATCTGAACCGAAATCTGAATTGAAGGCTGAACAGAAAAGTGAACAGAAAGCTGAACAAAAAGATGAGCCAAAAGATGAGCAAAAGACGGATGAACATAAAAATCTTGATTTTGAGCAAATGAAAGCCAAGGCCCCAAAACTTTTGGCTGATATGGTGCACATGCTTATCACGTGGCAGAGAATGGGCTTTCATGTGCCACGAGGTGTCAGAAACATATTTGAGTTTACCTGGGATGAACTTATAGAGATAGCACCAAGAAAATCTTTCACTGGTTTATATTGTCCAGTTGTCAAATCCCTCCCCTATGAAGAGGCTGAGCTGGCCTCCGCAACTACATCAAAAACTCAAAAGGTGGGTGCCACACCCTCAGCGAGGAGAACTAATTATGTGACTTCACTTGAAGGCCAGCCAATGCTCATGAAATTCCAAAAGCGGTCCATACATCTCCTGACAGAACTTCTGAAGTTAAAGATGAAGATAATGATTGATGCCGTTGCTGGTGAGACCCCTTAGCTAAGTGTTTGTTTGTCTGCCATGACCTATGGAATTCTATGTGGAGAACTTGAACCTATTCAGCCAAAAGATTCATTAGCTTTAGTATATGTGGGAAGACTAAATGCAACACATTAAGTGTATATAGTTCCATGCAGTTAGAGGGGAAATAAGAACTGTTACTAATGACAAGGAGTGCTGCTAAAACACACCAAAACATGAATTATACATATATATGTGGCATGGGCAGAATATGTGGCTGTCTGTGATATGTTCATTGTATACATGGAGGAGGAAACCCCCCAGTAGGATTTCTGCTGAAGGAGCTACTTCAGATCATACTGGAATGTGGACTGGAAATATTTTTCAGGAGCCCTGTGCTTTTATTTATTTTATTTTACATTTATTTATTTATTTAATTTGGGAATAGGATAAAAAAATAATTCTAGGAATGGGGAGATAAGTTAATAATGACAATAGCATACCAAATAGTAACAACGCTGTTGCATGAAGGTAAATGCAAGGTTAATTTGGCAGATATATTTTCTCACTCTGGCACCAACTCAGAGTGACGTAAGAAATATTGGCTTCACTCTGAATAAGTTTTGCAAGTACAGTAATCTCATTTTGAAATCAAATCTGATTATATTATATCTTGTAATTATCATGTCCACTATGGGATTCCTTGCAAAAATTGAGAGTTTCATCAGAGTGATAAAATGAGTCTCTTAATGGAAGCTTTTGTGCAGATACAACACAGGTAGAAATGGGATAAAGTTTGTGTTACAATACTTGTTTTATTATTTGCAACCCCTTCTCTTCCCGCCCCCCCTGTTCCCCGCAGTTTTCTATTATTCCTTGATTAAGTTAGGGAAAAAAAACAAGAAAAATCCCATGGAGACAGAGTTATAGCTACAGGAGAGCCTGTTTGCTTTAGTGATGAACGTGCTGGTCTAAACATCAAGAGAGTAAGAATTCTAGTGCTGCCTTAAGCATGAAAGCTGATGGGTGACTTTGGGCTAGTCACTCTCTCCCAACACAACCCACCTCTCAGGATGGTTATTGTCAGAAAAATAAGAAACGTGTATTATGTATGGTCATTACTGATAGACAGGGAGACAAACAGATAAATAAGGTAAGTTTTTTTAAAAAATCTAATAATAACACAAAAATCTAATAATTAAGCCACAAGATTTGAGGGTTAACAAAGAACATTTCAACCCATTTCTCTTGGATCACAGACTTTATCATACATTTACCACCCATGCACAACTGCTTCCAAGCATCAGAGTGTTAATGTCTGTCCATCCATCCATCAACAGTATCTATCGATCTATCTGATTTGTAATCTGCTACAATAAAAAAGACTCTTGGTGTGTGTGTGTGTGTGTGTGTGTGTGTGTGTGTGTGTGTGTGTGTATATGTATGTATGTATGTATGTATGTATGTATGTATGTATGTATGTATGGCATTCGGCTTTGCTCGGGTATTTTCCCACGTCATTGTAGTTGTTCTTTTAAAGTTGTAGCAACGTTTCAGCAGAATCTCATCTGCCATCATCAGGCTTCTGTATAGTGTTCGTCTGTGAGTCAGACTTTTACAGTGGTTTCAGATTTAAATTTGGGGCAGCCTATTGCTGTGCCAGAATGGTTTTTTCTTCTTCCTGATTGGTTGGGAGTCTTGGTCTGTGTTTATTGGTCTTGGAGTTTGCTGTGTTCTGCTTGATTGGTGTTTCTAATATCTTCTATCTGTTTTTTGGCTCTTTTTGTATCTTGATTGGCTGGCAGCATTGTGTTACTTTATTGGAGGCCTTTAGTGCAGCTTGGCTTCGGGTAAATGGACAGCTATCATTAGTTAGGAAGCTGGGTTTCATCTGGATGCCTGGTTGGGGTGTGTTTGAGCTGGAGGTATCAGGGGGGATCTGTTTGTGCCCAGGTGTTTGCCTGGCTTGTGGTGTGGAGATTTTTTTGTTTGTGAGTGCAGGCTTCCAAATAATTGACAGTCTGGTGGAATCATCTCTTCTATTCATGCTTTCAGGTCTTTTTTCAATCTCTATGGCTTCGCTGATAATTCTGTGGCTAGGGTTTTCTATAGTGGCTAGGGTTTTGGTGCCATTGAAGTTGATGCTATGACCTGTGGCTTCCATGTGTTAGACTAGTGAGGAAGTGTGTTCCAGCTTTTTGACTGCATTTTTGTGTTCATCCAGGTGGGTACTTATTCTTCTATTGATCTGTCCAATGTATGTGGCTGGGCATGATGCACAGGGGACTTCATATATGCCTTGGTTTTCCAGGTCAATTTTGTCTTTGGGGTTTCTAAGGATGGCTGCTATTTTTCTGTCTGTTTTGAAGGCAGTCTTGATGTGATGCCTGTGTAGTATCTTACTGATTTTGTCTGTAGTACCTCTTATGTAGGGCAGGACAGCTGTTCCATAGGTCTGTTCATCTTCTAGGTCTCCATTATGGCTCAGTGTGTTTTTGTGGATCAAGCCAGTGATTTTGCTTTTGTGGAAGCCATTGGCTGTCAGGGTGCATAGTTTCAGTCTTCATGTGTGTCTTGTCTGCCAGGCGTTTGGTTCTAGACCTATATATGTAGGTCTAGGTGTGTTCGGGTCTTTTCCCATGTAAGATTAAGAGTATCTTGGCGACGTTTCGGCAAGGTCCCACTCACCATCCTCAGGCTGGTGCTTTTGGCTTCATGCCAGTGCAAGCAATGTGTGATCGGAGCTGCCGTCTCTCCATAAATACTGGTGGGGGGGGGGCTGGTGTGCTGGGCTGGTTGGCTGCGCTGCTTCCTCTTGATTAGTTGATGGAGTTGATGTTGGTATAAAGGGCTGTGTGATGGCCTTGTGAGTTTTGTTGTGGAGATATCCTGGATCTTGTGCTGTAATCTCCTGGGTCGTTTGTTTTGTAGTGATCTTTTTTCCATTAGCCTCTCGTGTTTTAACGGCTTGGGTAATGGGTTGTGTGATGGGCTTGTGAGTTCCTTTGTTGTGGTGTCCTGGGTTCTGCGTTGCAATCTCCTGGGTCGTTTGTGTTTTGATCTCTTTTCCATTAGCCTCCTGTGTTGTAACGGCTTGGGTAATGGGTTGTGTGATGACCGTGTGAGATTTATTGCTGTGGTATCCTTGGTCTTGTGCTGTGATATCCTGGGTCATTTGCTGTGTTGCAACTTCTTGAGTTCTTGTGGTATAATTTCCTGAGTTTTCTGATGTGATATCCTGAGCGGGTGGCCGTGATGTAGCATTCTGGGTTTTAGTCTGGCTTCGAGTTTGGGGTCTGGGTCTGTGTTCTTGGCGTGTGTCAGCTTGTTTGGTTTTGGGGTCGGGGTTTGTGACAGCTGGTGAAACAGCTGTGGTCTGGTTTCTGGATGGTGGTTGTCCTTCGTTTATAGGATGGGCTTGGGCCTGGGTCTGATGAGGGGGATTGGTGGTGGTGTCCCGTGTTGTTTCAGGTCTGGTGTTGGTTTTTGTGGCTGGGACTCGTTTGTTGGTGAGGGCTAGCTTCCAGATGTCTGGTAGGCGGGAGGTGTCATCCCATCTATTCATGTTATGGGGGTGTTTCTCTATCTCAATGGCTTCCCTGATTATTCTCTTGCTGGAGTGTTCAGTGTTAGATATTATTTTGGTTCCTTCGAAATTAATTTCATATCCTGTGGCTTTAAGGTGCTGGAAGAGGGAGGAAGTATTTTCTTTTCTTCTGACTGCGTTTTTGTGTTTTGCGATGCGTGCATTTATTCTCCTGTTGGTTTGTCCAATGTATGTGGCTGGGCAATTGTTGCATGGTATTTCATAAACTCCTTGGTTTTCTAGCTGGATCCTGTCTTTGGGGTTTCTTAGGATGTTGGCTATTTTTTGGTCAGTGCCGAAGGCTGTCCTGATATTGTGTTTGTGGAGAATTTTGCTGATTTTGTCTGTGGTGCCTTTGATGTAGGGGAGGAGTGCAATACTGTTGTCTTGTTCTGTGTCTTGGTTTTTTTGGGGGTATCTCTTTTCGGATTAGGTTGGTGATTGTGTTTCTTTGGAATCCATTGGAAATTAATACGTTAGTGAGGGTGTGTAGTTCTGTTCTCAGGTGATGTTTGTAAGCTAGGCATTTGGTTCTGGAGATGAGGGTCTTCGCTACGGAGTTGATTTGTGCAGGGTGGTGATGGGATTGTGCATTTAGGTAGCAGTTGGTGTGTGTTTTTTTCTGGTAGATGGTGTATCCTAGGGAGCCATTGGGTTTTTTGTAAATTAGGACGTCCAGAAAGGGAAGTTGGTTGTTGGTGTCTGTTTCCATGGTGAATTGTATTTTGGGGTGTAGGTTATTAAGATGTGTGAGGAAGTTCTCCAGTTTTTCTTTCCCGTGTGCCCAAATTACGAAAGTGTCATCTACATATCTGAGCCAGAGTTTGGGCTTGTGTTCGGATTTGTCTAGAGCGTTGGTTTCAAAGTGTATGTAGACCTGCATGTGTGTATATAAATAAAGGCAGGTTAAAAATAGTAAAAATAAGAGCTAGTTTCTGAATAATTTTTAGTTGCCTCCAGAAAGACCCCTTGTAGCATATTCCCTAGTAATCCTCAATAATGAGGATTAGGAACTTGGTTTATTAAGGAAAGTAAAAGCAACAATATTCATTCTTGAAGCAAGAAATTATATTGCTATACATATACATACACACATACAATTTAAAGTCTATACTTCCACCTCCTCTTTCCCCCACAACAACAGTCCTGTTCGGCTGAGAGAGAATGACTGGCCCAAAGTCAGCCAGCCAGCTTTCATACCTAAGGGAGGCCTAGAATTCACCCTTTCCTGGTTTATTTATTTTATTTTTATTTGTTTGTTTTGTCAATCACTTACAAGATAATATGTGTAAGAATAAACATGAGTATGAATACAGGAAATAGATACAAATAAATGGGGACAATAGGACAGGGACAGTAGGCATGATTGTGCACTTATGCACGCCCTTACAGACCTCTTATGAATGACTTCTTGGCCAGCACCTTCACCACTACAGCAAACTAGCTTTCATTATGCTGATTATGCTTTTCTATGTAGAGTTTTCTTTATAGATCTGAATTATCACTGGAATATATGGTCATTCTTTCATTCTTAGGTCCCAATGCTGACGAGATTGCAAAACGATTCCTGGAAAGTGGTCAACAGCTAAGTCCCAAATCCCGGGAGGAAGCAGTGGAGTTTATGAAAGAACCCAGAAGGAAAGGTCAGAGAAGAAATGGACTCACCATGCACTTGGACCCTTGGAAATTATCATCTGCTATTCCTGTTGTAGTTCATGTTTTTTTCTTTCTTGAGGCATGGGTCAAATTGGGAATGAGTAGTACAAATGGTATCAAGATATCTCTCAAAACTTCCAGAAGAGTTCTGATTCTTTAACTGAGTAGCAGGTACAGTTAGCTTATTATTGTCATCAGTTTTAAAACTTCTTGCCCTGCCCAGCTTTGCTATGTTCCTCCAAAAGCTAAACTCTAATGATGCAGGAACCCAGATTGACAGTAAAGACTCACCATGATGCACACTGTGCAAAATGAGGTTACGAAATACTCCATAGAGGAAATGGGCTATATTGTCTCACTGCTGAGGAGAGGTGACATTTTAATGATCCTTCACATAAACACCATGAATGTGTAATGGATTTGTCAGAGCCTAGATAATGAGAAAAGACAAGATAATTTGGAGCGTTTCCTTGGAGTTCTTTCAAATGCAGTAAATGCAGTTCAGAATGCCCTGGAAGGGGAAGGTTAATCCTTACCTCCCTCAGTGTCACTACAGTTCTAAGCAGAATAATTCTTTTCCCACTTTTAAAATAAATTCAGAGACAGGCAATTCACTTTGGCTGCCCTGTAGCAGATAACTTTAAAGAGGTAGTTAAAGGCAAGCCACGGAGGACTGGTTTATGTGTGACTATCAGACAGGCATAATACCTAAAAAAGGAAGAGACTTGGAGGATTTTTTCCCCACCACAGCTTCTGCCCTCCCCATCCTTCATGCCTGCTCTCTGGAAGTTTTGACTCAAGTATTTTGTTAGGTATGTCATATAAGGCTAAATCTCTTCATGTCTAATGGATTTATCCAACTGTAGCCTGGATTATCACGCACAAACACACATAGACCCACAACAATACACGTTTATTGGAGTCTACCTGTAGCTTCAGTCTCTTCTCCTTATGTTTCTGTGCTTCTGCCTTGTCATTAAAGCTGGAGCGTATCATGAATGCCAAAGGTGCAATGAGGTGAAAAATTATTCATAAATGGAACAGTTGCATAAAATTAAAAATATGCCATGTCACAGGCTCATTTTGCATGATTGCCCTGGCAATGTGGTATGCTATGTTATTCTGACCATTTGAAAAAGAAAAATTCTTGTGGTAAGAGGATACTTTGACACTCCATTTTGTAAGTAAGATTCACCTTTTTATATCTGGCATTTTATTTCCTTTCCAGTTTGTAGAATGACCTATTTTTTTTTCTCTTTACAATTTATTAGTTTACTATATAAAATACAAAAATACAAAAGCAAATAGGAAAAATAAGGGAGGGAAAGGAGAAGGAAAAGGAGAAGTGTAGAAAAGGGGAGGAAAGAAAAAGAAAGGTGTTGACTTCCGACTCCCTCTGGTGCAGTAGAATAAGACAGTAACATCAAACCTCAAACTTTTACTTTTACATAATAGTATAAACTAGCCATTTCTATAACAACAAATCTAATCAGTAAAACCCAAAATCAACGGTTCATTTTTTCCACCTCAAGCACAAAGTCCAGAAGCAATTGCCAAGTAGAAACAAAAGTATTTGTTTTTTTCCTTTGATCAAAGCAGTCAATTTAGCTATCTCTGTAGAATGACCTATTGGTGTTAATATATATTTAATATAATATCATTTAAACCATCATTTCTTCAAGTTCCATCTCCTCAGAATTAGACTAGGGAAATAATGCTGACAGAGTCACTATCTATTTCCAAGTTTGATTTCTATCTCAAGAGCCCACTAATAAGTCTTGCCTGTATTACATTCATGGAAATCATAAGTAAGCTTTAGTGAGCTTTCAGCTCCCTTTTCTGCCTACCTCTCTTAGTAAATTCCTGATGGCAGCCTGAGATGGGTAAGTGACAATGCAATGCAGGGGACTCTCTAGGAAGAGACCTGTAGGAATTCCTAAGCCAATTTCACTTCAGATACTTGAGGATTTTGTTTAAGCCCCAATTAAATAGAAAAAGAAGTAATGACATAGAAAACTTTCATGGGAAACTTTCAATTCTTTAAAATGATTTTGTCCTTCTGGCTTGAAATTTTCTGGCATTTTCAGGTGGCAACCCACGTGTGTCAGCTCTTCCCCTTTAAGATTAAACCTAGAGAAGAAAATGTCCCCCAGAGGAGGGGGTCATGACTGAGAGAAGACCCTCTTCAAATATCTCGAGCCCTCTCACAGAGAAGAGAGTCAACTCCTCTACTGTTTCCAAAACATGAACTTATAGGACAGTAATATAGGACTTAAATATGAGGGGCAACCTAATTGTTATCACCATTGCATTACATCCCAATATGATTCCAGACAATGTGATTTATCAGCCAGGATTTATGGAGGCATTCAAGGGTATTTCTATGGCAAGGGCTACATTGGCCATGAAAGAGGTTGTGCTCCCCAAAGAAGGCTGTGGGTACTGGCCCTATAAGTAAATGTGCTTTCTCTTCCTTTAATTAAAATTTAATAGAAGTGTTATGTTTACTCCCTGCAGTAATCATGTATTTGATCCCCCCACCCTCCCACTCTCTCCACCTTCTATCACATTAACAGTTACTAGTTTTGCAGCAATTTTTAGATGTTTCTGCAATATTCACCAAATGTTTGGGGCCTTTGGGTTCAGGGTATATGTGGCTCTGGCTTATAGCTTAGCAGCTCATGTGAATTAAGTCACTATTTTTAATACTGTAAAGCACGATTGTTTTATGTGAACATATAAGTAATAAAAATAGTGACTTTGTTCTTAGCATAATGTGTGAATGCATTAGGGTAATGAAACTTGTTATTTAGCTGTGTTGCAAGTTGTTTCTCTGAAGTTAGTTACTCTATTTTAAATTATGTACCTATTTAGTGTATGTCTACCTATCTTCTTCTTTTCCTTTATTCCCATATGTTTTCTTTTCTCTACTGTATTTTCTTTTCATTGGTCCTGTTTTTCATTCTGCTAATCTTGGATCTTGATTCCCCCCCCCCCTCTAGAATAATACTGTAGTATCATTTTTCAGAGGAATACATTCAAGCAGAAGACATGAAGTTTTCCCCTAAAATACTAAATATTTCAGTTCTTTTATACTGAATATGAGTTTGGGCAAGATGGCATTCAACTCCCCTCTCATTTAGCTGAACATTCAGTTTCAGTTCAAAGTTGATTTCTACACCTCATAAGCACCAAAGGCATATTCCTCAGGTTCTGAAAGTACCTGTGATTCTTTTGTATGAGAGAGGATAATTGTGAAAATATATGAACTAAATTTTCACATACAAAAATGTGCTTTTCTGAAGGGCATCCCTGTGGCTGTATTTTTAGAAAAATCACTGCGACATCAGTGGCACGCTTCCATTTAATTATGCCTAGAATTTTAACCTGACTAGGCCATTCTGTATGTGACTACTGAGAAATGAATCTCTTTGAATTCAGTGGAAAATCCACCCAAGTGTGGGACTTTTAAGTATAACCTTAAAATTACAAGATTTCTTTTTTTCCATTTACTTAAAGGTAAGCTCCATTGAATTTGCTGGGAGCTATTTCGGAGTAAATATTGTACCAAAAGTCATTTTGCTATTTTAGCAAAGTTAGCACCACAGTAGTGCCTAAAATCTTAAAGGACTGTTAAGGGAACTCACTCATACATTACCTGGCTCTGGGGAATAGAATCCATTAACAGATTTTTAGGAGGAACACATTTAATTATGGCAACACATTTACTTTGGCTTTTGAAGAGGCTGTTCTGTTTTGGTTTTTTCCCATTCAAGTGTGTCCAATTCTCAGAAACCACCTGGACAAGTCCCTGCAGTTTTCTTAGCAAGGTTTTTCAGAAGTGATTTGCCATTGTCTCCTTCCTAAAGCTTGAGAGGAAGACCCAAGGCCACCCAGCTGGCTTCATGCCTAAAACAGGACTAGAGGAGGACTAGAACTCATAATCTCCCAATATTTAGCATGATGCCTTAACCATTCATCAAACTGGCTCTCATTCTGTATTGCGGGACCAATTGGCAAAAGAAAGCTCAGGACCATATTGGTTGGAAACATGCAGAAGAGGCCTTTATCCTGCAATGGATAGATAATGACTAAAATGATGATGATGGTGATGGTGATGATGATGGTGATGATATTTAGGGAGCTGAAAGGTACACCTGTAATTAATTTTAAAATTACAAGTAAACACAGAACTTTGGCTTTTGTCATTAATTACTGCACTGAATTATCTCATAATCTTTAATACAAGGAAATGTTTGATGTCATACCCCTGGAAAAAAAATAACCAGAATCAATGCCATTCTGACTAATCTTCTGGTTTCCTACTTAAACCACATATCTACAAAAGATTTAGGCTTCTTGAAGCATTCCTAGGAATTTAGGAATCAAACACTTCCTTTTCCGGATTTTTGTTCTTTTTTCATTAATAGCAATGGTACCAGAGCACACTTTTTAATTTCAAAAATAATGTATTTTGCAATAATGACATGAAATCCACAGTATCTTTTCTGCTTACAGGAGGGCGAGGTGCAGTCCCAACGGCGCCAGCGATTCCTATAACTTCCACTACCCAACTCATTCAGCAAATGTCATTGTCCTGCCTTTGCTTTTCATTGTCATTCAAAGAGGTCAAACCACAGAAGAGCTCAGGTAAGGACCATTCCAAAGATGCCATTTTAATATGTATTCAAGATCAATGGGCAGAGAGGTAGCTTTTGACTGCTATTGTAGTGGAACGTGGCCTA